GTTTGTGCACATTAAATTAAGTTGGTTCTCCTAAACTGACCTAAGGGATCTTTTCCCACCCCACATGAAATACTCTCAGATAGGTAAAACAGCCTTTAACTGTGACATGGAACCAAGTTGCTCCAGCAGTGAACAAACTAAGATGCATTGGCAGACTAAGGTGGGAGAAACCCATACTGACTTCACTATTTGCTGTAAATTTCAAAAATAGTTGGGCATTATGTTCCACCAAAGTTTTACGTGATAGAGAGGATTTAGTGAGAAAAATACCTACTTTCTAGTCCATTTATGACACTAAGGCCAGTTTGGCATAGAGACACTTAAGTGGTGAACACTTCCCTGATAAAATAATTGCAGGATCTGGTCATTAGAACACTACACTGAGATGCAAAAATTTGGAGTTCAACTCATAGCCATGTCACAGACTTAACAAGTCTGAGATGCCATTTAATCCCTTTGTGATCATCATACTTAATGAAGTTTATTATTTTCTTTATAATATTTATTTGAAATAAAAACAGTTATGCACTTATTGAATCTAGCAAAACAGGGCTTGAATCACATTTCAATCCCCACAGTGTCACTAATGGAGTTCTGACACCAATTCTTCACCATGGGAAACCAGCTGGGAAAGGAAACTGTGGCTAAAAAATTACATCTGCAAGTGTCCTACAAGACCAGTTAAAAACTGGCTGCTCTGTCAATAACAAAGTGATATACTCAGATCTGCTGAACTATTTATTCCCTGATACAATCCAACCCTGCAACCAAACAAGGTAAAATTCACAATGCCAGCACCATGTACCTAGTGTAATTCACTAAGTGCTGCTGGAATGGCAGTTCTGTAAGAGCTGAAGTCCGTCATGTGATACACCAGTCACCAAGCATCAAGACAAACCAGTTAGCGGTAAGAAAAGCACATAATTTTAACCAGCCATGCAAAAAGTATTGTCTCCTTCCTGGCACATCACAGTGCAGATGATTACAGAATGAGAAGACACTAGTTCTTCAAAACCACCATAAAGACAAAGAAAATCTTAATGCTTTGATTCTACATGAGCTTGGTTCCAACAATAAGTATTGTATTAATAAAATGCATTTGGTATTCACATAGACATTGCACTAATTTCCACAGGGACATCTCTTTTCCAGGGATGTTAAGCAGCTGGCTGGCAGCAAAACAAGTAGGATCGTGAGAAAGGGAAGTGATGAAGTCAGTTTTCTTATGGCCTTGTATGCCAGCTGATTTTCAACATGGTACAAACTTCAACTTAAAATATCCTTCAAGTTACAATTTTCACAACAGAGCTTTTTCACTTGTAGCCTGTAGTGGCTACTAAAGATTATACTTGTTACAGTTTTCTCAGCAGAGAACTAAGGGCGCCCCTCTTCTGCACTGTGGAGGTTGTTACCTTTCTTACCAAATTTGAATTACTGGCCAACAGGTCCACAACTGGAAGGGGAAAAATTCTTGAGACAACCAGGGATGGTAGAATTTTCCACAATTACATAGGCCTTGATCCCTCGGTGAAGCAAGGTTTATGATGTCATGAAATAAACTCATAGTTTTTTTAGCCCAATTAATATTTACCCTTTTCATAAAGCCTCCAAGGCTCCCAAAGATGGCTCAATAAATCAAGAGACATATAGAAAGCAAAAGCGTAAAACGAAAAGCAGAGAGAAATTATGGGAAAGGAGGGACTTCTATACAAGCACAGAATTAGTGCTTTGTACTACTTCTGTCTCAGCGTGTTAAACTTTTTCTCCCTGCCCTCCACTTCCCCTTAGTTACTCACCATGAAGTAAGTCTTTTAATTGCTATGTAACTAAAGCCATCTTTCTCGCACATTGACTAAGAAGGCCAAGCTGGTGTCTAGGGACTACAGGCCCTTTGGTGGCAGTTTTAATTCTGGTCAGAGTAGAGAAGTCAATAAATCATTCTTGCAGAAGTTGTTACTGACCTTGAGCAAGCCCTGGGAGGAAAGATGCAGTCTCTATTTACTAGGAAATCAAGACTTGGTTTGGTTTTTGTTTTGTTTTGTTTTTTTGTTTCAGATGCAGAACTAAGAAAGGGAAACAAAGAAAAGGCGATCAGTTCAAGAAAGGCAAGTGCAAAGCCTAGCCTTCAGTGACCAAGTGGAGAACATTTAAGTTCTGTTGCTTGATAGACCTAGTGCTGACTCACCTAGAGTAGAGCTGCATCCCCAGTATTTCAGGTTACTGATCCAAACCTCAACAGGGCAATAACATACAATCAAGGTTCTTGCATTCTTGCAATGTTCTCATGGATTTTGTTTTTGTTTTTTTTTTTTTTCTCCATCAATTCTGCCTTACTGGGCATACATAGTGTACCTGCATAAAATGCTGTATGGCACTACATCTGTACAATTAAGTTACAGGTATTCTAGATTTTGCAGCATGGAGAAAACACACTTTTCAGCAACAGGTTGGGCAGTACAAGTTTCCAGTGCCAAGCAAAGTATTCTCTGTCATCTTAACACAATGACAAGACTTCTTCAGCAATATCAGTAAATACATAAGCAACATTTTGTCACACTTGCAAAAACTAATGTGTTCTGACATAATTTCATACTCGGCATTTATTTTAGATGGTTGTGTCTAACCTTTGCTTCAACCAATACAAATTTTAGCATTGGCTTCACTGGAAATGGGAATAAACCCTTCATGAACAAAGCTCCAAAATAATCTTCTTACGGGGTAAAAGAAAAACTGAAATGAAAAAGATTCTCATCACACAAGAGGTTGCTACAAAGGACAAAGCAGCTAACAGCAGTTACTGCTGTAATCCTACACTGTTTTACTTGAGAGAAAGATTTCTTCTCCACTGCACCTGGCATATCTAAAAAAATTACAATGGTGTGTCCAAGTTGCAGGAGAGGTAAAGAAAAGCCCGGCACGTACATGCTTTATTATCGCTTCACTTCATCATTGACTAGAATATGAGAAAATCAATAAGAATCCTATACGAACACATCTACCATAATAAAATATATGGCTTACATATATCAAATCCTAACAAGTGTGCTTGCATGCTCAGTGGAGAAAATCACTTCATAAAACAACCCCAGGAGAGAACTAAAAAACAAAAAGGTGTCTAAGGAAGGGAGAAAACTGAATGATGTATCCAGAGGATAAAGAGATAACAGTAAGAAGTTTCCATCAATATACTGGACTGGACAGGCCAATGTTTTTATCAGTTACTCTAAACCTTAGTTAACTTCAAACATCTAAAGAGCCATACGCAGGTTTGTCTATGCTGGAATCAGTAGACTGAAGTGCTTATTTATGCCCCTTTAATTGATTTGATTCCTTACAGAAATTACTACCTATTTGGGCCTTGACTGTCTCCTCTGAGTGCATTGCATCACAGTTCCTGCTTCAAAAATTTCCTTGGGAAGTGCAGCTCCTGGAGTTAGACATTTTTCATAAAACCTCCATGTAGGTTTGAAGCCCTGCTAGTCTCCCCAGTCATTCAAGTAAGACATACAAACAAGTTAGGTTTTCTTACACAGCTCAGGTTTCTGGAATAAAACCGAGGGTTTGCTAAAATGGTTTTCAGTTTTTCTGATTTGCCACACTAGCAATAATTTGCTCATTGCCCTGTGCAACATGAATTTCAATTTACCTGAAAATAGGATTTTTGTGTTGCGGTAGATTTTTGACAGTTTTTCCATGTTAAAGTCTAGTATTCTAGACTAGAATCTGTGTCAAGTGATTATCTAGAATCTCCTCCAGATTTACCTTCTACTGTCCTTCAGTAACAAGCAAAGATATTAAAAAATAGCTTCATCAATTTGACCAGGAAAGTTAAAAACGTATTACTTTAATTACTAAGAATACTAACCAGGAGAGAGTAGCCAAGATATATTTTGTTTGTTATTTTAAAGTTTGTTTTATTCTCTTTCATTCTTCATTTCTTTGTCATATGTAGGAACTTCTGTGTAGCCAACTACATCATTTTCTTTGGTAGTGCATACCCTTTCCTAAACATCAGAAAATCACTTAATAAAAAGTGATTTTCTACCAGCATAACCAAGAGAGAAGACATTTCAGCAAGAAAGACATAATGAAGGAAAAGAAAGAATGAATATGCCTGAGAGGTGTCTTGGTATTGTGGCTTATGTACCTCTCTAAAAGACCTAGCATAAAAGAGAAAAAAATTAATAGTAAAATAAAAAAAGTTCCACAGTTAAAACTGCCCTTTACTATCATGTTGTTTTCCTAATCAGTTAAAACACAAATTCAAAGTAAGAGTGCCCCTTGAATGCTCATCTATTCCAACTTCCTTGATCATGGCTACTGCCTATTACTCCAGATTGCTTTTACAACATCCTTTTATTGAGCTTTCTTTTCACTGCTGTCCCATAAGGCCAGAGAGACTTCTCAAATCAATTCTCAGTACACCTGAATCAATTTCTAAAGCTCATCATGTCAAGGGAGCAACCTTTTATGAGACTACAGCTGGTCATATGAGTGTCTAATACATTGCATCAAATTTCTTTTGTAATTCAGTGTCAGGCTTTAAACCTAGTGCAGACAGCAGATATAACATATGCTTGTAAAAACAGAGTAGTATATAAATTTGCATTACAGGTATTACAGTGCATGTTACACACAACAGTTCCCTTCTACTGTGAAAACAATAATGGGATAGCCCCAATTTCTCACAAAGCACTAGCCTATGAATTAGTTTTACATCACAGAAATACGACTTGAACCTTTGATAATGGTATTTAAAGATAAAAAAACAAAACTTGCCGGTTTCTTGGATTCAGGGTAAAATTCCTAAGTCAGAGGATTAACTAGTGCACCCAGGGAGATGACCTTGTTTCTGACACTTAAAGAGGGGGAATGACATATAATTTATTAACAAAAGAAGTCTAGAAAAAACTCACAAAGCACTGCATCTCTGTGAGGATCTCCCAGGATCTGAACTGGGCATATCCACATCTCATTCAGGATCAATGCTCTCCAAGGAGCAAGCTAGCAGCAGCTTTTAGCCCCATTTCACAATTCTCACCTCCCCAATAGGAAAAGCAAAAGATATTTAGTTTCCTCTCAAAATCCACTACTTTCTGAGAGTCTACTCTGCAGATGCTTGCTTCTGAGCACAATTACTTATTCTCTACTTTTCTCAACAGAAGTCGTATTTTTTGCCATATTTACTATAACACTCTCAATGGGTCGGAAAGGACCAAGCAGTCCTTCCCCACTTATTACCACCTCAAAAGTGTCATTCCTACATCCAATTAAGAACAAAGGTACCCCAAACTGATGAACAGAAGCTCTAATTACACAGCAGCTTTGAAACACCTCTCTACTCTACACAGATCTAATCTTCTTAAATGTGCTGCTCACTAATAATTTCATGTGGACAAACCAGCACCTTTTTATTATGGTAAAATCATAACCATCATGTTATTTATAAAATAAGTTGAGGGTCTGTAAACACAGCAAATGACTCCTGATTTGTGCTCAAATTTTGGATACTGTTCATAATTCACATGCCTCAAAAGAGTCTGTCATTAAAACCACTCAGGAACAGAACAGAAAAAGACTTTTGCAAAGTAGTAAAACCAAGCTGTTGCATTTACCTATTCCCATTGTTTGCAGTTCAGTTTAGTGCAAGTACAGTAGCCCTTCCTTTTCAAGAGCTCCAAATTATCTTTCCCCACTAACAACTAAACAAGTAGTTCCCAAATCTTAAGCTTTCTTTCAGCTTTTTACATTAGGTTAATGTGTTTAGCTATATACCGGGATTCTGTGTAAGTGTGCACACTTAAATATACAAATATGTACACATATATTTATGCTTTATCTACACAAAAAGAGAGAGAAATAGGGAAAGAGGTATATGGATAAAAACCTCTTATTTCCTTCTTATACATTTCTAGCACCAGGCTCAAAAGCAATGAAAACTGAGCTTTTAAGAAATGGCTGGAATGAACATCAATGTAAAGTTGATGTCTGCATAACAGAGGAGACCCAGAAAAGACCTGTGACTAGAAGGGAACCTGTTTCTCCCCAGTCTCCAACACATAAAAGATTTTGCTTCTTGTTGGAGGCAACACCAAAAAGCCCCAGTTACTTTTGAGGGAGTTTTCCCTTTCTTTTTTAAAAGGTGCTGTTAATGGCAGATCAGTCTGACCAAAGGATTCTGCTTTGGAATAAAAACAGGAGCAGTCTTTTCTGGTTCTTCTTGTTCCAATAGCTCAGCTGGAGTCACATCATGGTGGGTTTTAATCCTGTCACAGAATACCAAAAGAGGGAGAGAGAACCCAGTGACTCGGACAAGCTTGCAGACATAACTCTGGTGCTATATGAAATGTGTCTTAAAACACGTCTGTGAATCCATATTCAACTAATGCACCATTTTAATAGTAAGAAAGACTTTATTGCTCTACCTCAAACACAGCAAAGCATAAAGACCAGCTTCTAATCAAATATAAGGGTACATCTAAGGGTGCATTGCTACATCTCCACCATTCAGCACAACAATCACTACTTCCTAACCCTCATGTTTCCATGAAGAGAAGTATCACTAAACAGTCTCTGGTTCCCAGTTCAAATATTTCTCACAGATTATAGCAGCCAGAGAGGCCGCATTTTATAATTCAGCTGTTGTCAGTTTTTACAATCATGTTTATTTTCATCCTTCTTTTTACACAAAAGTAACATTATTACCTCCTGCTAAGCTTCACACATAACTCAGCTCTTGGTAGATTAAGTCTCTCAAAGTAGGCTTATAAGCACAAGGGAGCTTGTGATTCTCTTCATACAGGACAGTAGTTACATTGGTTTGTCAAACACCTCCCTAACACTTGGGGAGGCAATCAATCACCACAGAGTAAAACGATATGTTCTTCCTCTTAAGGTGTCTTGTACTGACATCAGTCATTGGCTGGAGCTTTTTCCTTTATGTTGGTAAAGTCCAAACCCAAAGAGGGTGAGAGGACAACTGCAGTGAAACTGCAGTGAAAGTTCAGATAATGGAGGGTAATATATTGGAACTGAGAGAGTTTGACAGCCCATGCAGGCAGGAAAGAAATTAAGAGGATGCTCCTGGCCAGAAGTGACATGGATACAGCACAGAATAAAAACATCCATTTACTTCCCATTTCACTTAGCAAGCATCTGTGCAGCAAAGCAGGCAGTCACATTACAATCTTTTTATTACTGTTAGAAACACTGAGACTTCGAACAATCTTATGGCAAACTCTAGCTAACATGAAATAGTTACAAAGTAGAAGGAGTGTTGACCATTCATCCTTCTAGTGGTCTGTGTCATGGTACCACAAATGCAAGGGGACACAAACAGCAGGAGAAACAGTGGCTAAGAATGTGACTTGAGACAGGATGGTCATACTTCTCACCCCAGCCATTCAGCACCGATTTCATGCAGCACTGGCTTAATCTCAAAACTTCTAACCTCCTTACAAACTATGCCACATCCACTTCCCTGAATCTCTGTTTCAATACTTAAAAATACACTAGAGTTTTAATTCATGCAGTTAACTCCAACATTTCTGCAGGCACTAAGATGGCGGGGAGTGTCAGCATACATAGTATTGCAGTAATATTAATTTAGAAAAACTGGAAAGTCACAGTTGGAGAATGTTATAGTGCTCTAAAAAAAAAATAAATTCCAAAACACCTCTTAGAATGAAGTCCTGCAACTTTTATTCATATTCAGTATTCATTAAGCACAAAATCCTGAAGAATCATGCTTAAGCACCACACACTCCAAGGATCCTGTAGGCCCACTGATGAATGGGATGGGTGCCCTGGTGACAGAAGATACAGAGATGGCAGAGTTACTGAATGCCTTCTTTGTCTCTGTCTACTCTGCTGCAGGCAGTCCTGAAGAGCCCTGTACCCCTGAGACCTTAGATGAAGTCAGGTCAACGGAGCGGTTTGCCTTAGTCGATGAGGAATGGGTTAGAGACCAGTCGAGCAATCTGGACATCCATAAATCCATGGGTCCAGATGGGATGCACCTGCGGGTGCTGAGGGAACTGGTGGAAGTCATTGCTAGACCACTCTCCATCATCTTTACCAAGTCTTGGGAAACGGGAGAGGTGCCTGAGGACTGGAGGAAAGCAAATGTCACTCCAGTCTTCAAAAAGGGCAAGAAGGAGGACCCGGGTAACTATAGACCGGTCAGCCTCACCTCCATCCCTGGGAAAGTGATGGAACACCTTATCCTTGGTGCCATCTTAAGGCATATCAAAGATAAGAGGGTTATGAGGGGCAGTCAACATGGCTTCACCAGGGGGAAATCATGTTTGACCAATCTCTTAGCCTTTTATGAGGAAATAACACGGTGGATGGATGATGGCAGAGCGGTGGATGTGGTCTACCTTGACTTCAGCAAAGCATTTGACACAGTCTCGCACAGCATCCTCACTGCTAAATTGAGGAAGTGTGGTCTGGATGATCAGGTAGTGAGGTGGATGGCGAACTGGCTGAAGGAGAGAAGCCAGAGTTGTAGTCTATGGGGCGGAGTCTAGTTGGAGGCCTGTAACTAGTGGAGTGCCTCAAGGGTCAGTACTGGGACCGGTATTATTTAATATATTCATCAACGATTTAGATGAGGGAATTGAGTGTACTATCAGCAAGTTTGCTGATGACACTAAGCTGGGAGGAGTGGCTGACACAGCAGAAGGCTGTGCTGCCATCCAGCGAGACGTGGACAGGCTGGAAAGTTGGGCAGGGAATAACTTGATGAAATATAACAAGGGAAAGTGTAGAGTCCTGCATCTGGGCAGGAACAACCCCAGGTTCCAGTATAGGTTGGGAAACGACCTGTTAGAGAGCAGTGTAGGGGAGAGGGACCTGGGGGTCCTAGTGGACGACAGGATGACCATGAGCCAACACTGTGCCCTTGTGGCCAAGAAGGCCAATGGCATCCTGGGGTGTATTAGAAGGGGGGTGGTTAGTAGGTCGAGAGAGGTCCTCCTTCCCCTCTACTCTGCCCTGGTGAGACCCCATCTGGAATATTGTGTCCAGTTCTGGGCCCCTCAGTTCAAGAAGGACAGGGACCTGCTGGAGAGAGTCCAGCGCAGGGCAACCAAGATGATTAAGGGAGTGGAGCATCTCCCTTATGAGGAAAGACTGAGGGAGCTGGGTCTCTATAGTTTGGAGAAGAGGAGACTGAGGGGTGACCTTATTAGTGTCTATAAATGTATAAAGGGGGAGTGTCACGAGGATGGAGCCAGGCTCTACTCAGTGGCAAACAATGATAGGACAAGGGGTAATGGGTACAAACTGGAACACAAGAGGTTCCACTTAAACTTGAGAAGAAACTTCTTCTCAGTGAGGGTGACGGAACACTGGAACAGGCTGCCCAGGGAGGTTGTGGAGTCTCCTTCCCTGGAGACATTCAAAACTCGCCTGGACACATTCCTGTGTAACATTATCTAGGTGTTCCTGCTCCGGCAGGGGGATTGGACTAGATGATCTTTCGAGGTCCCTTCCAATCTCTAGCATACTGTGATACTGTGATCCCAGAATCAGGTCCAGGACATGCAAAGGTTGCAACTTCCTTTTTTCACACCCAGTTACAGTCTCAGGTGTTTTAAAAGAAGCAACCACAGCATTGACAGAGATCTTTTGGTATGTAAAAGAAGTATACAGAGAGGTGAAAATCTGCAACCTCAATTAACAGTTATTGCAGACCTACAGAGTTATTGATGAACATTTTAACAAGCATATATATCATTTAAAGCAATGTAAGCATAACAGAATTTCACCAAAGGCTATCCCTGTGGTGCATTTCTTGCTGTGGTCTTACACGCACGCAAGAATCCAGTAACCTGAATGGGGCTCTGGACATAACAGGGTCCTCCCACAACCATAATTCAGAACTAATTTTAGGAGAAGTTGCATACATGAAAGTAGGGGGTATGGGAGAGACACAATGCAAAACTTTCTTTTCTACAAGTGCCTTGTAACTACACTGCCGTAAATGTCTTCGTGTTTTACAAAAAATGTTATAATTCCCCTGTCTCTAGGAGCTTATGTTCCAGGTTCAATAAGATGATAATACTTCTTAGAAATATTAAATTTACTACAGGTATTTTAAGAAGCATAGAAGCCTTAGAAAGCAAGATTATGAAAGAGAACCTTGTAACAATTCAAAATATAATACCACTTCAATGCTTCTTGGCATAGCTGAAGGCACTTATATTCCAGTAAAAATAAAAAAATAGTTAGCACTTTAACAAGTGTCTAAAAGCTCTTTAAAACTTCAATGCTGCATATGCAATAGCCATTTCAATTCTTACCCACAAAAAAAATGTTACTGGATAGAAAGCAGTACCTGACAGCTATTTAATAACATCTGAAATTATACAACAATATTGTTTGGGTTTATTTTTAAGGACAGATTTGACAGAAATTCTGTGACAATTACAAAATGGAAATAAGGTTTTGAGCAAAAATCTACTGAAGGCTTTTGTCCACTGACATCCATGAAAAGTAGGCCTTCAAGGTGAAACAGTGTACCAAAAACTGTCAAATGAGAAATAACTTAGAAGGAGAAAAGTAGATAGATATTGAACCTCAGATACTCAGCTGAGAGAGACATTTATGTGCCACACCACAGGAGACAGCCAATGTTACTACCAGCAGCAGTAACAACTATATTTATTCTTGCAGTTTCTAAAGCTACAGAAATGTAGCTGTGATTCTTCCCAGCGTCTAACAGCGAAAGGGTCTATACACAACAGAGGAAAGGCTGAAGGTAAATACAAAGAGCACAGCAAGGGCTTGTAACCATCTGAACAGTTTAAGAAATGCTGGGTGGGTTTTTTTGGTTAACCACAAAGCTAAGGGAAAGGAGGAGCCTGGAATAAGGTGACATAGGTTGAGGAGGGTGAAAACTGATAGGACTGAGGAAGAGAATTTAAGGAAGTTTTGAGTGCATCACCAGGGAGCACAGGGAAACAAAGGCCTTAGCCAGAAGCCAGACTGCTCTCTGCATGGCCTCCAGCCTTCACTGTGCGGCTTTTGCAGCTGTTAGTACCAGCTGGTGTCTCCATCTGGTTGTTACGTGAAGTTGCTTCCTCAGACCACAGAGCCACGCTGTGAGAGGGGGAGGCCCAACCATGGTCCTAATGCTACCTACGTAGCCAGGTCCTAGGGCTGCAAGTCCCACAAAGACAGTGGCAACACAGTCCAGTTGAGCCTGTGTTCGACTCTGTCTGGAGTCTTTCATCTGGTTCCAGACACTCCATTCCCAAAAGAGATACTGGCACAACTTGAAGGATATCAGTTATGGAAAATATCTGCTTGGAAGGACTATTCCATGGATATTTAAAATTAAACAAAGACCAGATATTCAGAGCTTGCCTAACAATGAATAAAGACAGACCCTAAAAAACAAAACAAAACCAATTAAAAATATAGGAAAACATAGGCACCAATGATGGAAAGGAATTATTTACAGTAGTAAATGCAAGCATGAATGACAGTTAAGGGGAAAAAAAACAAATATAACATGGTAATGCAGACAACTGTAACAGAAAAGAAACTGTAAAGAAACAGAAACCTTGGCTCTCCAGAAGAAAAGAACAAAGTTCCAGTATTCAAAACCCTTAAAGACAAGTGTACGCCAAAAAATGTTTAGATAACTGAAATAAATGTCTCAAATAGTGTACAACACATAACAATCCTCCAGTGACAGCGTGTTGCCTAGATAATTCAAGACAGCTTCTCTAATACCTATCTGCTGATTACAGTTTGATTGAAAATAAGAGCTTTGCAGACTACACAAATGCAACTGAACACCAGCATCCACCAAGACCTGAGGTTAATCCCTCTTCCCTCCCAGAAATAATGCTGTTAAATAACCTCAGAACTTCAAAATATCTACATAGTATACTGAAGCACTCAAAAATGAAACATACTCCATATTTCAAAGTTCAGAAGACAACACTTGAAGAGGAAAAGTGGGACTATTACTACTAGTAGCATTATATTACTTCAGAGTTCCTAATTTGACGCTTCCCACAAAAAAACATGCTGGAAGTTGATAATGTTCCTTTAAATGAGCAAATTTACAAAAAGAACTCATGGTTTAGACCCTATCACTTGCTTCAACATCATTATCTGTTTCTTTTTTAATATAGTTTGATTAAACTTGTGGAAGATTAAAAAAAAAAAAAGAGAAAAATAAATCAAGCTCTAGAATATAAAGGGTGATACTAGGGAATTTTTTTCCTAACCTAATGAGATCATACCATTAAGACCCAATGCTTGCAACTTACAAGTAATTTTCATGCTTTGTGGGATATTGTCCTTCATTCATACACACACTCCATTATGCATTATAGATAATGTATATAGGAGACCCAATGGAAGAAACTGCAATAAGCATTTCACACAAGATAATGGGACGGCTACATGATATAACAGAGACTTAGCATGGATGAAGAAATCCGCTTATCAGGCCCTCCACAGTATGCCAGCTGTTTATGTGAAGTTTGAGCATCGTTATCTGGAGAAGGAGGTAAAAAGGGGGGAATCACAGAGAAGCAAGGTTATTCATTTGCTTTAGTAAGCTTGTGTGATAAACCAACACTCACATTCCCCACACCCATAATTTTCAGACTTACCATCACCAGAACTCTGGGCTCTCTTTTGAAGTTTTACCAACAATAAGAATGACGTGGTTGATGCTATTACTATGTGATACTGTAAAGGTGCAGGACAGAATTGAGAACAGCAGTGTGAAATTTTTAAAGGAGACATTTACATGGAGGCACAGGTATGTTACAATTACAAAATCCACAATCCTGTTAGAATTCTCTTTACTGTCAGCTATCCACAACTACAAATCCAAGTTCTCTTGCTGAGTAATAAATAAGGAAACCTCCTCTCTGGAACAATACATACTATACAGCTTTTCTCATTATGGAAAAAGTTTAAACCAAATCAGGCCATTTTGGATCTACAGTCCCTCCACTGAATTTAATAAGATTTGGATCAGGCTTCTGGAATTTAACCTAATCTCACAGGCATAGCTAAGACAAGAATCACTAAAATTTAAAGACTGAACCTACCTTTGTGAATGAGTTACTACTACTCAAAAGATGTTCTCATGCCAATTAGGATTCTGGGCTGAGTCTCACTTCCATCAGATGTTCATTTCCACTGAAATTTCCAGTTCTTCAGCCTTTAAATTTCAAAGAGGTCTTCAGTGTTGAAACAGTTTGTGAGAGTGAAGGGAATCCACAAATGAAGCAGAACCCTAAAGCTGTTACCTGTTTTACATGGCCAGAACAACTTCATCAGCAGACAGCATGACAAACAGATGTTCCAACTTTTCAACACATTTCTCTCAGTAGTGTCATGGTTGCAAAACTTTCAAAACAATAGCAAAACATGGCAGATTATTTGGAAACCAGATTTAGTGTATTACTCTAAACAGGGCTTCACAACTTAGAGAAAAGAGTGTTTCTTAAACACTAAATGCCAGCATGTCTGCTTTTAATACTTGGTTTATGATCTTCAGAGTCACTCTGGCACACATGCCAAGTAGCACTTTACCTTATTACATCATCCAGCATCCAAAACATGGGTATATCGCCTATGTGGAAATTGTTCTTCTGAGGAGTTCCACATAGTTCACTGAGTTTTGCTACTGATATCAATAGCAGCACTTTACCAGCCTCTTTAATCAGTACTTGCTCTTCACAGTTCTTCTTATGAATGTTGTCAAGTACAGACAAGTTTAAGAAAACTACTTATGTCAGCATAAGTTATACCTCTTCTCCATGCTCAAGTTTGCAATTGCAATGCATGAACACAATACACCTCAATAATAAAACATAATTAACTAAAAAGATAAGACATTGTCAACAACTGCACATTTATCACTAACTACTGAACCCTTCAAATTCCTTGCCACTTTAAAATCTTCTCTTAAGTGAAGAATTGAAAAGGACAACAAGATTATAGCACAAAGTGGAGGAAATGACCTCCAGAACAATGATCACCTTCACTAAAAACGAACACACACACACACACACACACCCCAAAAACCAAAAACAAGTGCACAGTGGCACTGAGAACCCTCAGGTAGCAAGACTGAATTCATAAGTAATACCCATCAGTAACACTCAGAAACAAGAAAAATTGTCAAAATATTATTCCAGCTTCAAATTATGTATATATCTGTTTATAAACATTGACACAAAAACAGAGAAAGGTGGCTGCATAAATGCAAAAGACAGGTACATATATAGGCAAAAGTTAAGAAGAGATACGTAGAACAAATTAAAAACGTTTAAAAATACAGTGATATCATCATATACTGATACATATTCCCTTTTGAATAAAGAGATGCTATTATTACATGAAAAGAAGTCTTTTAAAAACAAAGAAATTGCCTTAAAACTGCATGTTCCATGATGCTGAGTGTTCGTCTATCATAGCCTCTTATTTTCAGGGTCAGAAATCCTCAACAGAGGTAGCTAAACAAAAGAAACTGCAACTAGTAAGACCTTTCCATTTTCTAGCATCCATGCAAGACTTCCCTTCTTGGAAGGCCACATCCCTTCTGGTGGCAACAAACCAGCAATTAGAAGTAGGTTAAATCTCAAGGGATTATTTTGCTTTCAATAGAATTTGTCATTCGTTTATGTTGTTTTGTTGGGTTTTTTTTTTTGTAAAATTAAAACTTAAATATAGGTGAATTAGAATTACAAGCAACAGTAACCAAGACCTTCAAACACAGATGCAGATGCTTACTTTCCTTAACTGTAATCCTTATTTCTGGAATTTGGGTCCCAGATTACCTAATTGCCCATGAACATAATCTTCAAAAGCATTTCAGACCTCTACCTAGTGCCTCCTTTCAAAATTTTCACCTTTCAGAATGTTCTGGTTCTAAAATGGTTTTGCTACTGGTCCATAAATGCGCAAACTCTTAACACTTGTGTGTACCCCACAGCAACACTAGAGCTTTATTTTAAATAGTCACTGTACTTGGAGATAATAGCATGTAAATATTAAGCCTAAAGGAAGGTCACAATCTTGCATATACATGCTTCACCAATTTACAAACCAAAGACAATTCTGCTCCCCCCCACCATCCCTCCCGCATACCACAGTACAAAGATACTTGTATTTCCTCAGAGCAAGGTGATCAAAATATGGGACTCTTGGAAACAAGGAAGGTCAATTAGCATAACTAGATGCCCTTCAGGATTCCCTACATGACTGCATTTTTGAATTAAGAGGCATTGTCCTTCTGACTGAGTTCGAGGTGAAGCAACAGTTACAACATGGAGTAGGGGAGCCAACAGCAGAACCTGAAAGCCAAAATGCAATTCAATTTGTGCCAGAATGGTGTAAACAGCCTTAGATTTTTCTGTTGCAACATAAAGTGAAACTTCATAAACAGAAACATCACAAGCAAAAAGATATAGATTGGGCATCTGCCCTGCCACCACTTAAAATCAAAGCAACAGCAAGTATTGTTTTAATCATACTACTGCTCAAACATTTCAGAAGCAAGCAGGACTGCATAAAATAAAGAGACTGCATTGAGTAACCCCATGGACACAGGGATATTTTTATCTCTTATCTAAGGATGCCAGATTTGGGGGCAAATTATTTTTTTATTTATCCTGGCTTGAATGCAGTTACTGAAATTTACTGAACAAGTCTGCACAATTTGTAAGCCCTGAGACTCCATCAATCTGTGTCCTGTTAATACACAAGCTTACAAATAGAAGGCTTCCCAAATGAGCAAGGGGAATGACACTCAGAATGACTACCACAAGGTCTTCTATTTTTTGTAATAGCTCCAGCAAGAATTACCATGTTTGGCTCATCAGAAATAATATGCAAATTCAACACATACATAATCAATCATAGCATGGATTGGGTCTGTAGGAACAGAATAGAGATTACCTGCATACAAAGACTTACCCCTCCACTCCATCCTTTCTCCCCTCTAGAAGATAAACGGAAATCACTCTAAATTTGGTGTGTGAAATCACACCATTCATAGTATTATCCTAATAGGTAGCAAACAGAAAAAGGACCTCATCAGTGATACATGGAAAACAATTTACTAACAAACAGACTGAGCATTTATGATGCTACGCCAGACTGTGAACAGGCCAACTTCTGTCACAACAAAAAGAAATTGTGTCCTACAGATTTGCTCCCTTGTCAAACAGCCTTCACGCAGTGCTGCAGCACAGCACTAGCAAGAATGATCTCATTTCTGAAGATCACTCTCACCTGACATGGCCTCAGAGGCTACCAAAACCAGCTAATGCAGGACCAGAGTTTCTGCTTCCACACCAGTTGGCCCATAACTGGTCACTTACACTCCAATGTCTGTACCAACTTCTTAAGTTCTGTTCACTCTAATATTGCCTTTTCTTAAATATTTTTTCTCTCAATCTTTGCTTCTCTCTTAGATATATAAAAAGCAAACCAAAACACCCTATTAACGTGGCACGAATTATTCCAAAAATCTTGTTTAAACCCCTGCATGCTTTATAAAAGAATTATTTACCAGGCTTTTCAAAGACTGAACATTACAGGGTGTTAAGCCATCTGTGAAAGGTGTGACAAGTCAAAATTTATTTCCTAGCATAGCAAGTGTCCTGGGTTTAAACCACAAGAGCAAGAAAACAAGAGAACATCAGATTGCCAAGCCCTTGTGTCTTTACATATACTGACATTTCTGACACAATTTCTTTGTTTTCCTATCACCGGGCACTAAAAAATTAGATGATATATCTTGTTCAAGACATCTCGCCTTACTTAACTGCCTTACTCAGTTTAAAAATTTAAAAAAAAAAAAGTAGAAAATAAAGAGAGAAACTGCTACTAACCATGGCTGAATTCAAAATGGAAGTCACCTGTGTTTCTTGAGAGACACAGGGTTGAAACACAAGAAAACCAGAAACTACTCCAGGATGTTACTTACCAAAAAAATTAGAACAATCCCAAAATGCTGCAACAGTTTCAGTCACCCTTATTGTGTATTTCTGTAGTTCACACAAATCTTTAGTCCACTCCCAGGTCATGCCTTTTGCCCTCTACTTTCTGAGAGGGGTGGTATGTTCTGACCCAACTGTATTGGGTTTGTGTAGCCAGGTTTTGGTAGCGGGAGAGTCACTCCTAAGAGACGCTACTAATAGCTTCCCCCGTGGCCCATAAAGCCAATGCCAGCCAGCTCCAAGACGGACCTGCTGCTGTCCAAGACCAAGCCCATCAGCAATAGCGGTAGCACCTCTGGGATTACATAGTTAAGAAGAGGGGGGAAGGAAACCAAACCTGCACAACCGCAGTTGAAGAGAGGAGTGAGAGTATGTGAGACTCTGCAGACACCAAGGTCAGTGAAGAAGGTGGCAGAGGAGGAGCGGACATGTGGACCAGTGGAGAGGAGTCCATACTGGGGAAGGTTTGCTGTCAGGACTTTTGACCCAGTGGGGACCCATACTGGAGCAGTCTGCTCCTTAAGGACCTTCCCTGTGGAAGGTACCCAAGTTGGAGCAGTTTATGAAGAACTGCAGCCTGTGGAAAGGACTCATGGTGGAAAAGTTTGTGGAGAACAGTCTCTCAAGGGAGAGACCCCATGCCAAAACAGGGGAAGAAGGTGAGGAGTCCTTCCCCAGAGAGAGAGAGTGGCAGAAAAGATCATGTGATGAACTGATGCAATGCCCATTCCCTGTTCCCCCTAAGGGAAAGGAGGTAGAAAATTCAGGAGTAAAGTTGAGCCCAGGAAGAACAGAGGGGTGCAGGAAGGCGTTATAAGATTTGGGTTTATTTTCTCATTACACTACTCTGATTTGATTGGCAATAAATTAAATTAATTTTCCCTCAAGTCAAATCTATTTTGCCTGTGACAGTAATTAGGGAATGATCTCCCTGTCCTTATCTCAATCCATGAGCTTTTGGTTATATTTTTTCTTCCCAGTCCATCTGAAGAAGGGAGTGACAGAGCGGCTTTGGCAGCACCTGGCATCCAGCCATGGCCAATCCATCACCAGTAATCAATACCTCTGATTATTTGAAAATATTCAAATCTGATATGCTACCTGCACTTGTTTTAAAGAAAAGCAGCACAACAGCTGACTTGCTTGCCAGTAATACTGCAGTACTATTTCTTCTATAAGGAGAAAGGAAAAATATCTGAAATAAATAGATACTTCATGTATCTGTTAGATACTAATAGATGTCTAATAGATTATCTAATTTGTTTTTAATAGACTACAGTTACAGTGGTAACATACACCACAAAGGGATAAAGAATTTTTAGGAGGATTAAAATATCCCCAAAATCACATATAACAAGGGTTATCTGAAATAATACAGCAGATTATTCTTGCTTAAATACCATAAATACATTCCTGCTATTTGGATAAACAGCTCTAGGGACACTTTTCAAAACAATGCTTTCTAATAGTCTGCATTTGGTTTTACTATTAGAATTTAAAAATAGGGATATTTTAAAGACAGTGAAATACAACTTCTGTGGGGAATCACAAGCACCTTTTCAATGATCACTTTCAGTATTGGCTGAGATTAGTTTCAAAAATATCACTGAATCTCATTTTTTTCTGGTTAGACATCAAAATCACCATGTCTACAGCACGCATTACAGACCTCAGGATCTCAATGGCTTTCCAGTCATCTGTAACAGCTGTAAGCAAGCTTTTACACCCAGGACTGCATGTCCTAAATCCTTTGCAACAGTACATCAAAGTTTCTCCTCCATTTAAATTCTTAAAAAAGTAAAAAAAAATAAAATTTCTATATATAAATACATATACATAAAAATCAAAATAATCCCCCTGTAATCTCCTAAACATGACAATGCAGATTATACTATTATGTTTCCCAACCCCAACCCCCAGGGAATTATTTTAGTAATAAAAACATGCTAGAGAGAACATCTAACTCCAGCAGATTTAGTCTTGATGGCAAGGCTTGACTAAAGAAGAATAAAAACCTGAACAAAATAACAAAATATAGACAAATCCTTCATAGCTGTACTTGGTCACAGAAGAGTTAGCTTGAAATGCAATTACCAAAAACTCACATGAAACCAGTTGTAGTGGATAAATGCATCAGTTTTCAATTTAGTCACTAAAGTCTGACTGTGTGTCTGACATATGAAACTTACTTAGCATACGAATAGGAAGACACAGCCAGGGCTCCAGTATTTACATTTCACCAAAGGAGAGGCAGATACCAGAACAAGATGAAGACTCAGGCAGTGAAAGCTACATCCCCCAACCTCCTACAATTACTCTGTGCGATATGGGTCAGGTTAGGCTAGACTTAGATTTCCAAGTAAACTGGTGCAAAAAGAATAGATCACTAGACTGAAGTCATTAATGCCAAGTCCCTGATATCTACACTACACAGACAACTCAGACGTTTTATTTCACTATATTAGTCATACCCTGAAACAACCGTCACCAACAAAAATAGTCTGCAGCTCTCTCCAGGATTAGCCATTGGTTCAGACCCTCAAAGACCCCATTAACAGTTGCTAAAAGGTCTTAAGTAATACCTGCTTTATGCCTAAATGTTTTAAGATAACTGAAGGAAAAGTGCTAATCAGTCCTGTGGTCATATGTGCATGGTTATGTTTAATATTATTCTATCTTCTAATAATAGTTAAGTGATGGGTAGGAACAAACGTGAACATCTGTAGTATGATCACGACTTTGTAAACGTGCACACCCTCAAGAAAACTAAGCAGGTATATGTTCAGATCATTCAGGTATACAAATTGTATCAAAAGGTTGGTTGGCTGTCTACTTCAGAGAAAACCTTCAGCATGAAAAAGCTTTTGCATTCTGTGCAAACACATAGACCCTAACAAATCACTCCCAAACAAAATTTCCATGCCAGACAAAGCTTACAAAGCTTATGGTTCCAGAGCCTGATCTTATAATTAAGGCCTTCAGTAAACTAAAGAGAAATGTCACAGTTTTATTCTGAAAATGAGGAACAGAGGTTTTGTAGACTATTTTGTGGTTTTAATCTACTCATACATGTAGCGCTGATTTTTTCTGCAGATGCTTTAAGGTGCAGCTGAAGGGAGTACAGAGTAAAATAAACTTGTGAATGCAGAAAGCATTTTAAGCATTCTGTAGCAACTAAATGACTTCTTTGGGGACATAGGAATTGACATGCTAAATTAGAACAGTGGTCTAGTCTTGACAACAGCCAGGCCACCAGTCAGAACAAGGAGCTAGGAACACATATTCACTGTGTTCTTCTCAATCTTCTCAATATTTGATTTTGTCTTGTCACCCATTATTTCAGCATCTGAACATATTCCATCTCTTCCACATATGCTAGCAATATAAATCTCTTGGCATCTTCCGTCATTCAACAGATAAAATTGGTATATGCATTTTTCATTAAAGAGGCTAGAGGGCTAACTGCTATTGTGAAAACTATGGTGGTAGAAGAGCTTCAGCAAAGTAGAAGAGTTTTGCAACTCTCCCTAAGAATAGTTACACTGGTTTTGTGTAATCTCCCCTATGAATCTGGCCACAGGCTTCCACAGCCACATACACAGCTGAAAAAAATTTATTTGGTATTCTGTTCTAAGTTTTGTCAACTAGTTTGCAAGAGAAGAATAGACAAAGGCTGATCCCTAAAGCTTACCCTAGAACAGAGTAAGAAACACCTGCCCTATCTGGCCTGTTAATGACTGAGGCAGGGCAAAGACCAGTGAAGCACAAGAATGCATCTGTGTGGCCTATACAGACAACACTGCTTCACATCGGCAAGAACTTAAGTACACATTCACTTCCCTCACACACAGCACATGCTATTGAGACTGAAAGACAACAAGGCTCTAACAAATGATGGAGTTCAATGGGCCAAAAGCAAGCTTTCAGCTTGAAGGCAATTCCCCACCCACCCTCCAAAATGTCACAGCAGTCGACTGCTTTGCCGGATCACAGTGCAAACTTCCATCCTTGTGACAAGGAACATCCCTTCACCCTGTTACTTTATGGTGTCAGTATTCTGTACTAAAGGAAGTGATACCGATTTAAAGGTAATTGTTTTGGTAGGGCTTTTTAAATTTTGTTTAGCTTTTTTGTTTTGCTTGGGTTTGTTTTTTTTGAAGATGAACAAGCCCAACCACCACAGGGAGTATTGTCAGTGAAGATGCCAAGAAAAGGATTTCATATTTCGTATGTTTCCTGCCAAACTATATTTGCACACTGCGCCTTCCACAGCTGACTTGGAGCTGAAAAAGATGTGTTTTCTTTGGTCCTTCAAAGTTTGCTTGCTACTTCCCATATGAAAGCTCAACAGCAAACCAGGCTCCTTGTGTCAGTTCTTGAAGACACTGGCAAACCTGCACACCAAAACCCTGCATAAGTAGGAAACTCCTATAGGCCCACAGTTACAATAGCAACATTGACATCTGGCAGATATTCATGGATAATTTCTTTTTTCCTAATTATTGTAAGGAACTGTAGTAGTTTGGAGTTTTTTAATAATTTTTCTCTGTAGCCAACCAAGAACAGAAACTTCAATCACCAAGCCTCAACGCATAAGTCAGAAATATTTAAGTGGGTTGAGATGACTTTTGCAAACTCTCCCTTTTCATCTTCAAATACAGAAGCTATTCCTATAGTTCCCTGGAAGTCTCCAATGGATAGCAACATGCTTGAAAACAATAATTCAGTGTCACAGCCAAAGCAACTGCTGATCTTCTGTCATCAAAAATCATGAATTACATTTGGGTGCTATCCAACAGGCACAATTCCCGATATTCAGTAAGTAGAATGAAATCTTGTATACAGCATTTCTTACTATGCTACAGACAGTGAGCATTCCTAGCTAATACCAGCAGCTTTCTTAAGGAACACATTCTCATTCTTCTTGGATCCAACAGGATACAAGCAGATAAACTAAGCAATTATTACCCTGGAAAACCACCTCAGTATTTGCAGAGATGGGTCAGGTGCTGCACTGGATCATATGATACTGCCAGCATCTACCTGCTGTTGGGTAAACAGCAGTTACACGAGCAGCACAACTAAAGAAGCCTGCTCTCCCACAGGTATTCAGTTCATACCAGATTCTTTGGTTTCTAAAAGGCGCAAGCTTACATCAGACTTGCCTGTAGTTGAGCCACGTGAAGTATGTCCGTTACATACGGATGTAAGCCTGTATGTAAGGCTGAGCTTCCACTACAGAATTTCCCTTGAATGGAACACTAACCTGGTTTCTTTCCTCTAACCAAGAATCTGTTTTCAACAAACTTTTGGGAAAT